TTATCTATGGCTTTTGTAATGATTTTCTTTGACTATCTCTATTCCAATGCTATCTGGATTGAGATTACAGACTCAGGATTTCAAGAGCAATCCAGGGTTATGGTAAAAACAAAACTCAGATTTTGACTTTAGACAGCAGAATAAGCCATATTTGTATAAAGTTTATTCATTTTTCTTTCATTGTACTTGGATCCTTTTCCTAAAATAATCTACTTGATACTTACATTTTTATAAAATTCAGAAAGTATAGCTCTTATTAATGTAAATATGTGAAAACTTTGAAATCTAAAGTTTTATTCTTAAATTACTTAAAAAAGTATATATGTTGTTTACAATAAACTAAAATTCATCTATAGGTTAACTTCTATGACTAGGTAAAACTACAGTGTTAAGGTGGAGATAAATATTGTATTTGTACTTGATTTGGGCCAATACTCCCATAATCTTCTTTACTCTATTTGATACTTTTAAAATTTCAAGTAATGTATTGGTTAATTTTCTATTGCATCAATAAAATACCATGACCAAAAGCAACTTAGGAAAGAAAGAGCTCATGTTAGCTTATGGTTCCAAAGGGATAAAATCTTTATGGTAGGGAAGACATGGCATATGGCAAGTGCAGGAGCAGGAAGTTGGCTGATGACATTTCTGTCCACACACAGGAAGGACAAGGAGATGTGGAGCTGGAGGTAGAGGGGAAGGGGGAGAGAGAAATATAGAGAGACAGAGAGTCAGACAGGCAGACAATCACACACATACACACACAAACACAGAGAGAGAGAGAGAGAGAGAGAGAGAGAGAGAGAGAGAGAGAGAGAGAGAGAGAGAGAGAGGAGAGAGCGAGAGAGAGCCTCAAAGCCCACCTCTCAGGGTCATACTTCCTCTAACAAGGCTCTACCTACCAAAGGTTCCATAACTGCCCAGTGTGACCAAAGCGGGGTACAAGTGTTTAATTATATGAACCTGTGGGTGACATTGTTAATTCAAACCACTACAGGCAGTTTTGTAAATGGGCTAATGTCCATTTAAAAGAAACATTTAAATTTATAATCACTAATCTCTTCTATAGTCTTAAAATTGCTTTGTTGTACTTGAATATAAAAAAGAAAAATATAATAATGGATGATACAATGGAAAGGTTGCTCTGGAAAGGACAAGATCATCTCAGGGCATGAATTAAGTAAAAATCAGTCTAGGCAAAGCTCAGGAGACAAATGGCTTGTTGATGTGACATTCAAAACACTAGCTTGGTCAGATAACTGATGACTGAGGAGTGAGACTGTGAATTTAGCATCCCAGACAAGCAGAAGAGGAAGGAACAGGAGTCACTGTTCAGAGTTCTGGGCAGCTGAGCACTAGGAGAGTTACCAAAGGCTGGGCTTCATTCGATGAATGGATGGAACCAGAAAGCAGTATACAGAGTGAGGAAATGCAGACCAGAAAAACAAATGCCACATGCTTTCTTCCATCTGTGGATCCAGCTCCAAAGCTTTGGATGTGAGTGTATAACCTGTAGTAACCAGAAGAGTAAAAGGGGACTGTGGGGGAAGAGGGAGATTGGGAACTCTGGATAGTGGACAGTAGCACACAGGCAATATGAAGGGGGAAGGGGATGACAGGAGAAGGGGACTTCACTGGGAGAGGAGCGAGGAGAATATAAAGGGAGAGATAGGGAGGCGGGATAACCAACACTAAGATGCTTGAAAAACCCATTGAGAAACATTATCATATACCACGTATTTTTAGTAAACATTATTACCCACTGTAGGTATGAGCAACCTCCCTTCAGGCTGTTGGCCAAGGACTCGGAAAGTTCCCAAAAGAATATAGGCTATTACCTTTGATTGTCTCCTAATATGTCAGAGTCTTTCATTAGAGTATCTTTAGAGTGTTAAACTACCCCAAAAAGTCACAGCCAATTGGAAGTGAATTAAATTCCAAGAAAGTCATCTGCTTTCATCCAAAATGTTCTGTGGCTTATGTTTCATAGAAAGCCTACATCTTAAGTTCTTATTATAGTTTTCCTAGCATTCTCTATGATATGACAAGTCTCTTGGCTGGGCTTTTTTTCATTAATCAGTATTGTATTATTAACAATTTATTGGTGCAATAAATCAAATTAATCATGAACTCGATTGAATATGAAAAGTAATAAGCATGTCATGCAAGCCTTGGAAAAGGCCTTCTCACTAACATTTCGTAGCCATCCTCACTCAAGCCTCCCTGGTCATTTACCTACAGGGCCAGTCAGCACCTGTTCAATGGAAACGAAATGGACCATTTAGGCAGGCATGAATAGGAAAAGAACAAAGGCTTTAAGAGTCGATGACAGTTTTGCTGGAGCTTGTGGCATAGTTGAGGATATGACCACAACACACTGATACTTTCCTTTTCAGCTTCATCCAGTAGCAGAGCTGTTCTGTGGAGCACAATGCTTAACCAAATTCTCCAGAGGCAGGATGATAATTTAGGAGAGTCTTTTTGGTGTCTGATCAATAAAATAACGGACAGATTCCCTTTGGGTTGTATCTATCCACCAGGATTAAATTGGAATTAACAATGAAATGAAAGTTTGTCTATGAAAATTGCTTACATGACTACATCCTTTTTCTCACAGGTGTCTTACAGGTGGGCATTTCCTGTTATAAGACCGAGTGGCCCAGCAAAGAAGCACAGAAACACTAGAAATGGCTTTTCTCAATAATGAGCAGCTAAACCAGGACATCTATGACAAAGTCCTCTGTGAAAACCTGGCTTACGGTTCACTAATCAGTTCCATATACACTGGAGTCTCTGCAGTGATTGGCAAGTTGTACCAAACCTTCAAACTATACCCAGTTCTGAAAAGATACCTTAAAAAAGCCAGGAGCAATCACCTTTTCTCAAGGCTTCAGTATACTGGGACAGATTTTTTTCTGAAGACTTGGGGCCTAAAACATAATCTAAAGTATATTTTAAGTAACTGATGTAAAATGTCATGGCATCTATTTTACCACAAGAACAACAGATTTAAAGTTCTTTACTATTTAAATGTGATATGTAAATAAGGTTATAAAATGCAATACATCACAATTAGAATGCATACAAACTAATTAACGTTATTATCACAGAGCCCAAAGGAAATAGTCCATATAATCCAGTGTTCATTTCCTCTGACTTATTTGATATAATTATTTTCTGACTTACAGAAAAATAATTTTACATCAGTGACTTGAAACAACCTTATATTATTAAAATTTCATTATTTAAAATGTTTTAAACCAATCTTTATTATCTGTTTATTATGACTAATGCATTGAACCATTTTCTAGATATTCTTAGCTAGTTCCTGTAATTGTAGCGTTAGTAACAGTCTCTGTTCTCATTTAAGCAAAATTTTCAGCCTAAATTGTCTTAAGAAAACTAAATAATGGAAGAGATTTTGATGTCTCGAACAACCTCACAATAGCAAGGTTTTTTTCTCTCTTTTTTTATTTATTAATTAAATTTTTTCACTTATTTTACATCCTGGCCTCAGTTTCCCCTCCTCCCTCCTCTCAGGTTTCCTCCCTTCCTTGGCTCCCTCTTCCCCCACCCACTCCTCCTCTGTCTCCCTTCAGAAAAGGGCAGGCCTCTCTTGGGAGTCAACAAAGCATGGCCCTTCAGGATGAGGTAGGACCAAGCTCCTCCCCCTGCCTCAAGGCTGGGCAAGGTAACACAGCAGGAAGAACAGGTTCCCAAAAGCCAGCTCAAGCACCAGGGACAAGTCTTGATCCCACTGCTAGGGGCCCCACAAACAGACCAAGCTACACAACTGTCTCACACATGCAGAGGGCCTAGGTCAGTCCCATGCAGGCTCTCTAGCTGTCAGAGCCCAACTCAGCTGCCTCTGTGGGTTCCCCTGTCATGACCTTGACCCCCCTGGCTCCTATAATCCCTACTCCTACTCTTCAATAGGGAATTTGGTCCAGTGCTTGCCTGTGAATCTTTGCACCTGCTTCCATCAGTTACTGGATGAAGGCTCTCTGAACCATATCTCAAAGGAAGTAAAGGAGGAAGTAGACAGCCACTGATCACATGACAACCTGGATTCTTTAGTGATGATTGGTGGAACTCATTTGTAAGATGGGCTAAGCAGCCACACATATACTATGAGTTTTGCTATTATTATTGAACAATATTAACTGAAGCAAAGTAAAACTGGTTTCATCTCCCGACTGGATAATAATGCACTTTAAACAAGTAGCAATGAAGAATGAAATATATTTCCGCTTTTATGTTAGTTAAAAATATTATTGTACTATGCCCAACATAAAGCTTCATCAAACATAAACTTGATGCATGTAAACATGAGTGTACAAATATGACCATATCAACATACTATTTACTTCTGTTTTTCAAAGCTATCATCATTATCTTTTTTATAAATAAAAAAAATTAAGTTTCACCAATGCAACTTATTTACAGAGGAAAGGTAAGGAGTTGGTTCTGGAACTGAGGCACATTCTGGTTCATGTTTCAATGTCCTCTGCAGTGAGACATCTTTCTAGGATACTGTTTGGGTTTTAGTCTTTGTACGTATTGAACTCAAGCACACATGGAGACTTGCATCTGCAGTAGAACTTAGAATTCACCTACAGATCATACTTTCCTATCTCATGATTTTGCCTGGAAGGTAAGTGAGGACCTGGGAAGTACAGCCACACAAGAAAGCAAAACACACAGTGACAGACTGGCACTCTACCCTGACGTCTTTTGGATGCCACCAAAGCACATTTTCTCTGGATGATCACAGCTGAGCCTCTGGAAGCAATCACAGGGGTATGGTGCTGAGTTGATAGATGCATGTTTCTCTTAGCAACTTATGAGTAGAATTAATTCAGATATGTCTTAACATGTTTCTGAAATTATTTGATTAAAGCCCTCCAGCCCAAATCAGCAGTGTATCTGTGACCTGTTGTCTCAACGCTCTTCAGGCACGCGACATAATAAGCACTGAATTTTACTGAAACACTACTTACCTTCATAGGTCCCACTTTCAAGGAGAGCACCACTTTTCTCCAATTCCATAAAATCCTCAACGGTTATGAAAATGTAGTCCACTCCAGGGACCTCCCCCTCCTTATGTGGCCTTGTGGTGCCTGGGTAGGAAGAATTAAAACAAAAGAAACAATCTAAGGCTCGTGTTGTTGAACTTTAGAAATACCACCATACTTTTGAATATTCAATACTACTAGTTTGTTCACCCTGTGGGGCTGGCAGTTTGCATGTGTCCTTCTGTTTGTTTGGCAACAGCAAACAAAAGCCGGGGGGAGATCAAAGTCAATGGACAAAGCCTTGTTTTCATTGAACTCACAGAGTTCACTGCCCTGGAATGTGGCTGAACAGATTCCGTTCAGTGAAAACTGCAGACCATTGTGCCTCCTTTGAAGAGGTGGGTTGAATACTGGGCCTGGAGTCTACATGCTGAGGAGTTTACATGCTTCACTCCCATGAACAGATTTTGGCATATGAATAAAATGGGAAGGTAGAAATTTTAAGCAAATATCAATTTATCTTGGTGTTCTTCTAATACGCTTTTTTTGCAGGGCGGGGTGGAAGCTTTAGATGGTGTGTTATTTTGCACCAAAATAATACATATTTACATATTAAACCCGAAAGGTCACAAAATATGTACGAGTACTTCAAATTTAATAATAATTGGAACTGACTGATAATTAAAATTGCATTAATAATTATAATGGTTATAATATGACATATAAGTTAATGGGCATTCTTTTCAATATTTCCCTATATGACTTGCATTTCTTCTTTTATTTCTGTCTCTACTTCTGTCTGGGGTGGAAGGTAACACTTTCCCCAGGGTTACCATACTCAACAGTGGTCTGGCTTACTATATCCCTTACAGAGGGAATGGAGCTATAGAAGGCCAAGTGAATAAGACCCCCAGATGCTCTCTAGAGAACACACAATATTCTAGGCTTGCTGTCTAGATCATAAAGGGAAGCACATATAGAGAGATAGTAAAGGCCAATAATGCCAATTTCCCTTTCTATATTATCTACATATAGTATTTTTGCATGGTCAGAATGAAATTTACTTAGTGTACACATACAAATAGATATATACAGTTATAGAGAAAAATGCAGAAGCAAAATGTTACATTGGCAGGCATCTCTATCATTAAATATTCCCTATATGGTCTACATCATAGAAAAAAGTCTTAAATTCATTTTATTTTGAGTCTTTGAATTTTAAATGTTTATTAGCTTTGCCATGAAAGTAGCCAGTTAATTGTGTCTTGAGTCTATTAGGATCAAATCTGAACTGCAAGTGAGAGTTATAAACTAATGCCAAGATGAATAATGCATATGCTATGGAAATTGATGATGTGAAAATAATTCTTAGTAGATTTTTTAAAGTCAAAATGCACTATTTCCCCAGAGTTAAGTCTTCCAAACCTTCTTTGGGGGCTGCAAAACATTTTGTTTTTAATCATGCTTTGATGACTTGCTCCTGAAATTGTTATTTTATATAATTTAATTAAGCTACCTTGTGCAGTATTTCCTGTAGCTTTTATACTATAAAATATAAACTTCCCACACCTAATATGCATAATTTGTTGTCAAATTAATGCTTCTATGAGAACTTTAACTTTTAATATCCTGACTTTTACATGCTTAACCCTTATGAATTAAAAAGACATTAAAAGAGTTTTTGGCAATCAATTTGTTGTTCTGTTTATTTAGAGCACACTCTAATCATTAAGCAAAATTGCATAACAAAGACTCAGTTTTCCTAACTAATTTATCTCCATGTTTCAGAAGTCACGTGCTTTGATTAATTCATGCCTGCTGTATGATAATACATTCACAGCACAATGGAAGCTCAGGAGTATATGCTTCAGGCCAAATCCAGAGTGACAAATTCTAGGGAAGACACTTTGTGGCTGTGCTCTTCTTGGTTCAGTGAGTGTTTTCCCCTCCCCACATTGGGCCTTGGCTGTGCAGGGGGCGTTGTGTGGATTATCCATACCACCTGTAAGACTCTCCACCCTGTTACTGCATGCTGACAGTCCCTGGGCACTGCACAGCCTCACTGTCTCTAAGGAGGTTTCCCCAATCTTAGTGCCACACTTGGATTGGGACATTGGTTCTTCGCAACCTTGCTTCTCTGTTTTGTAAGTGATGACCTCCAGTTCCTTGATTTCTCTTTTCTCCTACACCTTCCCTAGATTGGCTTCATTTGCCTTCTGTCCACTAAGATATGAGAACAACCTGGTATCTCTTCCATCACTTAATGTACCTTCATTTCTCACTTGCAGTAAGACCCACAGTGTATTGATAGACAAAGGGTGCACCAGGAAACTAGACACTTGAACGTTGAAGATTTCAATGGCTTATGTCAGCTTGATTCTGCCCACAGTGGGAATTCTTTATACATGTCTTCCTAAAGTTGTGTGACATTCTCTTCATTTTCTATGACTCAACTGTTTGGCTTTCTGCAGAAGACACAAGCTCCTTTCTTGGTAAAACACACACACACTTTCTCAAGTAATTTCTGATTACTCTAGATGTAATGTTTTTGTTTCAAAGTTTACACAGATGAATCAATTCAATTGACAAGTTCTCTCTTTGTTAGATAATGTTGAGAAAGGAAAAGGTAATCAAGATTCAGATGGGAACAATTTACATAATATCAAATGTATGCAGTAGGCAGTCATCCAAATACAAGTTTTCTATGAAAAGGAAGGACGGGAGAGGAGAGAGTAGGATGTGGTGTTTTCGAGCAGGGAAAATTCCCTGAGATGCACATTTTCATGAGCGGCAAACCAAGAAATAATGACCAAGGCAGAAAAATCAATAGGTATCTTAAATCATTTAGAGGTTTGGAAGCAAAGCAAAATAGGAGCACACTTGACCCTGAGTAAAGAAAGGTGTGTGTGTGTGGGGGGGGGAGGTGTCTGTCTGTCTGTGTGGTGTATGTCATGTTGTGTGCATCTGTGTGTGGGTGGGAGTGTAATAGATACCTATTACATTAAAGGAAACCTTACTAAATTGGTAAAACAGATGATGATTTAAGTCACTCCTGGAGCCCTTGAACCTGCTCCAATCTGTACCTGGTCAGCCCTGCCACAGCTGCCACCCGCCTGAGGACTCCCATCGTCTCTGCCGTGTGCAGAAGTTCTCCTTCCCCAGATCTCGGGACTGTTTTGTGGTTTCCACCCTCATGTTGGCAGAGCTAATCATGCAGAGGCTTCCTTCCTGTGAAGGGTAGCAGGGAAGCCACATTGTTCTGAGATTTCACGTGATGGAAATTGTCTTTATTCTACCTACACAGCAGGGGAATTTGACAGCATTTCAGGGACATCTCATGGTAAAAACACACTTCTCCGTCTTGCTCTGCTCAGATCTCACTGGTATTCTTTCTGGAAACCTTCCCTGATGCCACTTTCTAGTCCTCCTTCCCTCTCTCATCTCACCTCCCGCTCTTTGGTAAGTTCTATCACTTCTTGGTGTCATCCTTCCGTCTCTCTGATGCAAGCACTGCTCTCCTGGACTAGGCAATGGACAAGGCCATGCACCCTCCCTCTATTAGGTGGTACTATTCTCATTACCTTCCTATTTATTTATTCTCTTGCCAAGAGAGGTGGTTGAAAATGTGGAGAGGGGGAAATGTTGAAAGCTTTGGCGTCAGAGGATACTCAAGCACACACTATCAAGGCAAGATTCAGGGTGCACCAAACTGGAGTTGTTTTTACAGAGACTTGCCTTCATGGGACATGTGAGAAGATATAATGTAAGAATTTTCAGGCCAGGCATGGTGGAAGATAACTTTAAATCCAGTACTTAGGAGACATAGGCAGGTGGATGTCTGTGAGTCTGAGGTCAGACTGGTCTACACAGGAAGTTCCAGGTCAGCAGCCAGGTCTATACATTGAGACCACACTTACAAATAATAACAACAACAACAATAATAATAAAAAAATAATAAAAGAAAGAAAAAGGAAAGAAATAAACTATTTTTTCAGATAAATGAATATCTATTTTGCTTTCTCTTTCATCTACACTAATAGAATGACTTTTTGCTAGGAGGAAAAATACTTTTAAGTTGTATGTTATTGTAGACGAGAGTGCAGGCTGTGCTATGAGAGTAATCACCATCTTTGTAAGCTAATACATGGAGCAAATTAAGCAATTCTATTGGTAGTTCAGATAATGTCTGAAACATAGCAAGCATTTGACAAGAACTGTATTGTTAGTATTGCGGTGTTGAGTAGAGTTGGCATTCTAGATTGCTTTGATTTTATGAATTCATGCTGTACTATTGAGCACTTATAATGTACTAAGCAATATTATAAATGCGTATGATAAAATTCATAAGACCACAGAATACCACTGCTCTTGTAGAACTTATATTTTGATAAAGAGAAGGAAAACAAAATTAATTAAAAAGTATGTTATATGGAGCATTTTATAATAAGGTAGAAGTTCTATAATTGGTCATAGGACAGGTCATTAGGACCTATGCACAATGTAATCGTCAACTGCCGAGATTTCTAAGTATTAGCAAATCTCGGGTAAAGGTTGAAGAAAGAAGCTGTGAGGAAAAGAGCTCAAGGGAAGTCAGTACCTGCAAGTCTGTGCGCTTCAGGCTTCTCAGAGAGACCATGGACCTCTGGGAACCAACAGAAGAGCCACCGAAGGCTTTCTCTGTTGTCGCTTTTGTTTTTGTTTATTGAAAAGAGCACTAGGGCTGGAGAGATGGCTCAGTGGTTAAGAGCAGCGACTGCTCTTCCAGAGGTCCTGAGTTCAATTCCCAGCAGCCACATGGTGGCTCACAATCATCTGTAATGAGATCTGGTGCCCTCTTCTGGCCTGCAGTCATACATGCTGTATACATAATAAATAAATAAATCTTAAAAAAAATTTAAAAAAAAGAAATGCTCAAAAAAAAAGAGAAAAGAGCACTAAATTATTTAAAATAATTTATATATATGTATGTGTAGACATACATGTATACACACACACACACACATATATATATATATACTCAGTATATTACTTTGTTTTGCTTGGGTCATCTGATTGGACTCATTAATGCCCAGCATAGTTTTTTCCTGAACTTTCGAAGTTAGTTTCAGCAGACTGGCACAAAGAGTGCACAGAGGGTTCTGATCCCTGATCCGTAAGTAGACACAAGCATTCACACATTTGGGCAGATGGTTCAGTAGGTGAAGTGCTTTCCATCAAGCCTGACAGCCCGAGTTCAATCCCCAGATCCCACATAGTGGAAAGAGACAATTGTCTCCTACAAACTGTCTTCTGATCCTCACTTGTACATCATGTCACACACATACACACACACACACACACACACACACACACACACACACACACACACACAAATATATAATTTAAAAAGGGAAAAAAGGCAAAGATTCATGTACCAAACCTCAATTTTAAAAGAAGAGATGGAAACAGTACAAAGAAAACAAGTATTTTAACATTAGAGTTGGGCCATTACATTCTTTTCTGTTTTAATATTTTCTATATGTGGCTCGGGATGTAAACATCATTTACCTGACAATCAATGTTCTTACCATGCACTCAAATAAATAATAGCTATGCAAGGCATTATAAAACATGAATATTGTGGCAACAGTACCCTCATTCCCCTCAGTAGCAGGAGCAGTACAGCCAGATGTATTAAAAGTTCCCACTTGTTGCTAGTGGTTTCTTGGTTTTAGAGTCTATTAGAATTAAAATATAAGCCAACTAGCTTTATTATGGACACTTGCAAGTAAGAACTTCTTTTGACTAAAGATACAAGTTGACTTTAAAAAATTATCTGAGCATGAAGGAACTAAAGAAATAAATCTATTTTTTTTTTTTTGATGATGCACTAAAATGTGGCCTATAATGTTCTGGTCATTGTGTCCTTTCAAATAACACCATAAAACAAACAGATCTGATGACATGGATTGTAAGGGTTTCTGGCTGTTTGCTGACTCATTTTAAAAGTATAAAAACACTTACAAAGTCTCATTCGTGGGTCATTTAACTTTACCTGCAGGCATAATACCTGAAACAATGAGGGTAAAAGCATTATTTCAGGTTTATGCATCCAAGAAGAAAGGACACTAGTCTTCTAGCAGCTGGTGAGGCAGAGACTGGAAGAGAGAAAGCAGCCAGAGACCTATGAATGCTCATTTGGGGAGTGACGCCATTCTAATAATGAAGCCAATCCACGGGAGGCGAAGGGAAGTGCTGCACAATGGTAATTTGCAGGTAAAGGTAATTAATATCTTGCTGGAAAAACAGTTACGCTGAATTTCCTGAAATGGTTACTTACTTTATTTTTATGCTGAAATAATTATAGTTGCTTTCCCAACTCAAAAGATTGTGACTAGAGAGTTGACAGGGAAGCAAGACTCAGCACTAATAGCAAGTCATTCCCCTGCATCAGGAGGCGGGTGACAGAAGGATCAAAGGGAGATATGGTGATTCATCACAGAGCTGAGAGCAAAAACACTTTCTCATATTGCCTTTATGTTTTCTGGTGCTTGTAATTTTACGAAATAGTACATAGGAAACTCCAAAATAAATTTTATTATCTAAATTACGGCTTATGTATTTCAATATTATTTCTTCTAGACCACTCCTCAAAAGGGAAATAAATATGATGAGGGGGAAATTCTACTAATTGAGTTTATGTTTTATGTCCCACTGCTTAGCTTCTTAAAAGAAAACAGCCTACTGATAGCTGTTCAGTTGAATACTGCATGAATAATACCTCGATCAGAAGGTAATAAAGGCGTCCAGTGCTGAAACTCAAGGCACATGTCTGAAGACAATGAGTTTTCTCACAAACGGTTAGTTTGCTGATGCACAATGAAAGCATATGAAGGGTGCTTGTTATTTGGTAACCATGGCAACTGGGAATGCCAATTGAATTTTTAAAAATTCTACTT